GTTATTGCGGATAAATCAAGGCATATTAAACGGTGGATGTGGTTATCAGTCCAGGAGTGCTCTGCAGCTAAGAGGACCTGGGGCTGACCAACCGACGTTGCACTGCGACGGGTCATCAAGTGTATCATAATCATAACAACTCTCTTCCCCTTCTCAGGAGGATTAACGGGGACATTACGAGACACGGCATTTTGATAATTTATGGGTACTGTAAGAGCTAAGCGTTGAGTGTAACGTATATAAAGCGGGTGTGCACCCAACTACGTCTGCAGCGGGCCGACGAGTTGTGACGACAGAGAGCGCTGTGCACTGCAACGGCGTCCTTGTCGAGCATAGTGACAGTCTCCAGGGGAACTGCAAACCATAAACATTCGCACCTAGACTCTAGACGTCGGAAACACCAAATTTGTTGCCGCCTCTTCCTCCTTTTTCGTTTTATCTTTGGCGTTTTCGCGTACCCTCGGGGGCCCCCGAGGGCAAGGGGCCCCCCATGTTTCTCGCGTTGTCGCGTCCGCAACAGCAGCGNTACCCTCGGGGGCCCCCGAGGGCAAGGGGCCCCCCATGTTTCTCGCGTTGTCGCGTCCGCAACAGCAGCGCCGGCGTTCGGTGTTGATGTTGCTGGCTCTGCTTATTCTGAGTGTCATGTCATCTGTGTGCTCCAGCAACTTCTGCTTCTCCGCAAGACGCCTGGACAAAAAGGGGGCCCCACAAGCGGCGACGCGGGCTCTCTTTGCTGCATCTGTAGGAGCAGCAGCCTCAGCAAGGGCACCTACTCCTCCCTCATTTTTGACGGCTCATCGCAATTACCCTTCCGTGGAGGCCTTCAGCTCTGTTCGTTCCGTATCCTCACTCTGCGCGGGAGGCCCCTTAGTGGGAGGGGGAGGAGAGGGCCCTACGCCTCCGACAGGTCCTCGCGTGCAGGCTGCACTAGAGCAGCTGCAACAGCTCACTCTCCTTGAAGTGTCTGAGCTGGTGCGTCAGCTAGAGAGGATCTTTGGAGTGTCGGCTGCTTCTGCGCTTGGTGTTGTGGCAGCAGCAAAAGCACCGCCAGCACCTGCTGGTGATCAGAGTCCAGGTGCCTCAGGGGAATCAGCTGCTCCTAAAGCCCCTGAGAAGACAGAATTCAAGGTATTAATGAAAGCTGTGCCTACGGCTAGCCGCATATCTGTCATCAAGACATTGCGAAGTGTACGCTCAGACTTAGGACTGAAGGAAGCAAAGAACTTCATAGACTCTCTCCCCAAGGACGTAACCGAAAACATTAACAAAGCAGAAGCGCAGAAGATCTTCGACGCTCTCAAATCGGCTGGAGCTGAGGTGGAAATGGTTTAAGCTTAGTGACGTCACTGTGTGTTAACCGAGCCATGCGTCCCCTTGGTTGTGGGTGTCTCGTCGTTCTGTTCTTAGGAGCAGTTAACTCTATTTCAACTCTATTTCAGATAGGTCTTTGACCAGCATACATGGGACCGTGCTTTTCTGGACTGAAGGGCGGCCCCTGGTACGGGGGCTCACGATGCTGCCCCTGGTACCAGCACCCGGTCGTCAAGGGG